CCTGATTTTAGCTTGTGCGGCTAATATTCAGGTGCGCTTTGTAGTCCGGGAAATACGGTAAAATGAAAAGAATTTAAAGAAAATTGTACAAATATTTGATCAGTGACAACAGACAACAGATAGACAAGACCCTTTACATTTACACAAAATAATAGCAAAAACCTGAACCATTTGATTAAAAACAACAAATGAGACAGCCTGTCACATATTCCTCTCCTTTCCACTACACAGACTCAAGCTTACTCAGAGAACTTGTGATATTATCTAGATGAACTATTGCAGTCTGTACCCACAGTGAGTTGACTTCACAACTGTGCTTCACTGAGTGGCTATCTGGCAGCAACATAAGCACATTTTATATTTACCCACATTTTATAAAATGAAGTTTATTCAGCTGACTAAGAAACACATTTTCCTTTTTCTTGGAAATGATGTGTGCTCTTTGTGATGATTTTCTTTTTTTATCGTAAAAGTTATGCGACTGAGGTCTATATCTTTCAGAACTTGTCTTTGATTGATTTCTTTAGCACTTTAGCAATCCAGTGACAGTTGTTAGTATTTCCGCTGCTTCCCAGCAAACCATAAATGGTGATAATTAATTTGTCAAAACTTATTTCCTGAATTATAAATACATAATGGTTTAAAAGAATGCCTATGTTGCCGCCATGGGGCAACTCGATTTAATGCAGTAACCTGAACTGTCCATCAAAGTGATTGACACATTAGGAGTTCACATTAGGAGCCTCGCTTTCTTTGGGCTTTGCCTCCAAGCAGTCAAAAGTCAGTTGATTAGAGCAAGCAGTATTTCTCTCAAAGAGCAAACCACAAGAGCGTGAAACTATAGCAGCACATGCACATGGCTGCTGAATTCTACCTGCACAGGCTGTTTAATTTATGCACGTTTTGCAATGAATACCTTGTCCATGAAATGGACACAGAAGACAACACAGCATCCGTACTGCTACCATCAGCATGTCATGACATCTTAGTTTTCTTAACAAAAAGAGGTGACTTTCCCCATTTTGTATAGTTAGACACCAGTCTACGTTGTTATCTAGGTGTAAACCTAATATTTTGTTACTACCTCTACATCCACCCCATTAACATGCTGGGGAGGGGGCCTGAAACTTGGTAAATCTACTATTATTTACATTTCATTTGTCTTTAGAGATGTTCAGTATGAGGTAGTTTTTGTGACTGAATGTTGAATTAAGAAGAACAATTATTTGAGGGCTTTTATTTTGAAATTAAAAATCAGACCGATATGATACTGACTGAATACCACTATGAGCATGTACAGTGGCTTGCAAAAGTATTCTGTTCCCTTGAACTCTTCCACATTTTGTCACATTACAGCCACAAACATGAATCAATTTTATTGGAATTCCACGTGAAAGACCAA